GAACCTAGACAGAACATGGCAGGAGAACCTGGAGAAGCTGGATGGAGAACCTAGCAAGAGAACATGGCTACAGAACCTGGCTACAGAACTTGGTTGGAGATCCTAGACAGAACTTGGCTGAAGATCCTGGAGGTAGAACCTCGCCATGATGATCACCTGAACGCAGCCTCCGAGTCCTTCCTTCATCATCCGACTCCATCCACACCTTTGGGGACCCCTGGACCCGCTGGGGTTGGACCTCAGCAGCCGGCTGTGAGCCCGGGGCTTGGCCCCAGGCTTAGCCTCTCCCTGCCTCTGTTTCCTGGTTCATAAAGTGGGACCAACGGTGGTCTCTGCCTCACGCCGCTGTCATGAGACATAAACGAGATAATAGGTACAAAGTGGTCACAGCGCTCACGCTGGCGCGTGCTCGGTCAGTGGTAGCGTTGTTATCATTGTCCTCGTCTGTGATGCCACTGCCAGTGATAGCAGGAGGCGTGTGGAAGCCGAGCCAGTCGTATAGCTGAACTAACAGCAGCTCCAGGGGGTAGCTGATACCATCACCCCCATAACACGGAGGAGGAATCTGGGCCCCGAGAGGGTAGGGGACTGGCCTGAGGTGACTCCGCGGGTCCGTGATGGGGCTGGGACCAAGCCCAGGCAACCTGGTTTTAGAGCCCTGGCTCTTACCCGCGAGGCTGGGCTGCCTCTAGGATTGAGGGGCTGGAGGAGGTCAATCAAGGAAGGCTTCCTGGAGAGGGTGCGTTTTACACGGTGTTTCTGTGCCGTGGGAGAGAGAAGGAGGGCGGGCACCCAGGGTCACAGTCACTCTTATTTATTGAAAGGAAAAGAGGGGTTTCCCGGGTCCTGTTCATTGAGCTTCTGCCAAGGTAGGCCCTGCCTTCTCCACCGTCCGTCCTCCCACCAACCCTGGGGCAGCTGAGTCCCATTCTGCAATGGGAGTAGAAGTCCCAGAGGCAGGTCCCTTGCCCAGGTCACGTGGGTGGGCACAGGCTGGCGCAGCACCTCCAGCCCC